GTCTCTGTACACAGAGAGCTGTTACCCTTCCCTTCATAGTTATGACAGTACCCCAGAATGTTCTATTTGTGGTACAAAAATAACTATCCATTGTCTGTTCCTTAGCATATTTAATGCTGAAATACAGGACAAAGGACAATCAATATTGACATATATATTAGGCATTAAAGCGAGATCTCTCTCAAATTAAGTAGGGTTTTACCAAATTCACAACCATGAAATCTGATCTCCCCCGTGAAATCTGGCTAGTGTAGCGGAGAAGCAGGTCTGGGGGCTCTTACCGTGCGCCCGACTCCAGATGCTCATCCCGGCAAGGCTGGGGAGGGATGGGACTTCCTCTTCCCCTGCAGGGGCCACTCCTAGGCCCAGATCAAACCCATCTTTGGGAACCTCTCCCAGCTGCTGGCTGGGAGCCCAGCTCTGAAGGCAGCACTGCCACCAGCAGTAGCGCAGAAGTAAGGGTGGCAATACTGCAACACCCCTACAATAGCCTTGTGACCCCCTCCAATGGCCCCTTTTGGGTCGGGACCCCTACAGTTACAACATCGTGAAATTTCAGATTTAAATACCTGAAATCATGAAATTTACGATTTAAAAAATCCTCTGACCATGAAATTGATCAAAATGGACTGTGAATTTGGTAGGGCCCTAAACACAAGAAACACCCCCAAACATTGGCTAAGTATTTGAGTTATGCTTTCACTCTTGGGGCTGGTCTACACTGGGGGCGGAATCGATCCAAGATACGCAACTTCAGCTACGTGAATAGCATAGCTGAAGTCGAAGTATCTTGGATCGAATTACCTGGGGTCCACACGGCGCGGGATCGACGGCCGCGGCTCCCCCGTCGACTGCGCTACCGCCGCTCGCTCTGGTGGAGTTCCGGACTCAACGGTGAGCGCGTTCGGGGATCGATATATCGCGTCTTAACGAGACGCGATATATCGATCCCGGATAAATCGATTGCTACCCGCCAAAGACGTACCCTTGGTCTTAAGCTTGGATTCTTCTTCTCAAAAATCTTACACTCCCTGCGCTGGAAATGAAACTGTTGTGGTGTCAACAACAGCACCCACTCCACGGGGTGTTGTGCTTTAACCATGACAGCATATCCTACTGGTGGGCTGGGGACAGAAACAAGATTGGTAAGAGCGCACATACACATACAGGATTGAAGTCATTGTGGTGTCCTGCTAAGCAGTAGCAATCCTAGATAAATGTGCAGTGGAGAATGCAACTTTTTGTAACATCAAAACATGGGGTGCTTTGCTGCCAGTCTTGCTGCAAGCAGGGTGGAAAGAGAGAGAAAGACCCCAAAGAAGTGGATATCAGTTGGGCAAAAAAAATCAGGACGACTTAATAGTAGATGAACGCCATCCTCTTAACCACCACTCCCTCCCCCGCCCAGAGAAATCAGTAAGAAATGTTGCGATTTTCCTGAATCTATGAGATGCGTGTCAACAGGTAATACAGGACCTTGTAGAAAGGCGTGATAGAAAGGCTTACCGGGGATATGACTGAGCTGCCAGTATTCCCTAATATACATAACCCAAGTTTTCAAACCTGAAAACAAGATTTTCAAAAACAGGGACCTGGCTTTAGGCTCCTAAATCTATATTCAGGCAAGTAAGTGGCAACTACTGAGAACCAAATAGCTCCCACTAAGCTCAGCTAGAGGTTGATCGGGCCCCAGTACAATAAAGGGAAATTTAAATTAAGTGGTTTTCAACTGCATTTGGAATTTTAGAAGACTAACATTTTTAAACAGTTACCACAGCCATCCTATATTTGCTCACAAAGACACCCGAAAGGGTTGGTTAAGAGTTTAACTCTCTTTGTCATTCCAGCCTAAGACCCTGCCTTTGGAAGAGTAAAAATAATATTTTTCTTTCGTGAAAAAGGGTCTTTCCCCCATTTTTAGAAGGGCAAATGATTACATAATTCACTCCATCTTGAACACAGAAGTATAGTTCTTCAGCAGAAGCTCCAGAAGGACAAACAAAATCCACACGCAGTTTACTAAAAGGCCTCCCTTATACCACGTAATAAAATTTACAGCACAGCATGCAAATGCATTAATAATTTATTCACTGTACAGTCCGCATCCATGACAATAGTGCAACAAAACTAGCATTTGAATGAGTTCCAGCAGTTAACTGTTTCAAAGTGAAAATGCACAAAAATGTTTTCAGTAAACAATAGAGTTTTGCTGTTAGTAGTGTCAGTATTAAGTTTTCAAAGCTTTATCATGCTACAATAATTAATTCCAGCACTGTGTCTAAAGTCAATTGAACTTTAGCATCTTACTTCCATTTCAGAAATGTAATGTCATCTACTTTTAGTTCTTAATGCCATCTGAGAAGCCAAGCAGTAAAAATAGTTTATGAATTATGCCTTTTTTAATAGGCAAACTGATTAAACATGTATAATGATAAATTGGTGACACATTAAAATGATCTCTGTATCATTGGGTTAAGTCAGCATAATTCTAACAATAGTTTTCCTGATGAGACGCTGGCAGAAGGAAGCCCAATAGCATGAGACATTTTGCAGGGACTCTACAAAAGTGTATTATGTTTTTATTTTTAAGATTGACTTGAAAAAAATTTTTTTTTTAAAGATAAACTTTAATTTGTGAGAGTAATTATGCATGTAATAAGGTAACTATGCATGCACACAGTAAGTAATGGTCATTCACATGTATAATCTTATTTTCATATGAAATTGTAGTAACTGCACATATGTATTAAGTACACAATGGCATACCTTACTTTTTTCCTATTAGAAGTCCTAAATATTTAGCTTGTAAAATACATTTTCCTATAAGAAAATGACAATCACATTTTGGACATTAGCTATTTGACAGTATCCCTTTTAAGGTCAGAAGAAAGGATATTTTAGAAAAGTCTATTATTCTGAAGTGTTGTGTCTTATGTCTCAACTAATGAAACTGAGTTTGAAAATGAGTAGTTCACAGAGCAAACCCATCCTATAAAAAAAAGTTATAACAAGGGCTTAAGTAGTAAAGCAACAATGGCTTTGCCTAGATTCCCAGTTACTAACATAGTCCTTTGGCAAGGAATCTCTAATCATGGAATATCATTAACACACTACATTTACAGAAGCAGATTCCTGACTTTTTTTTTGGGGGGGGGGGGGGGGGAGGAGGAGAAAGGAAAGGGGAGAAGACAGATAGATAGCAGCACGCAATGCAGATGCATCACTTAGCACAGTACACCATGTAGCACATTGGCAAAACCTGAAAAGCTTCTGGGGAATCTGAAAACTACATCCAACAGCTCAGATTATTCAAGTAAGAAATGCTCTGAAAGCAGGTAAAGTACATTTCCCAACTTCCTGCTGTTCTTTATCTTCTGTATGCAAAGCAAAACAAGTGGACTGAGAGGTGAGTGTGTTGGTGTGGATGAGGGAGATTAGCATCTCACTGAACCAGAGTTTGTTTTTCCATCAACACTGTTATTCCTATTAGCTAACAGCCACATTGATTCCTGAATGAAGTTATGCTGAACATATGACAAAGGTAACATGAAAAGAAAGTGTATCTTGAAGTTTGGCTATATTCCAGGGGTTATTTCCAAAAAGAACAGAGGCACAGGTGGTCTAGTGTTTTAATGTGGCCTTTGTTTTTATTCATAAAAAAACAGGAGCAGATTATAAAAAGAAAGGTTGGCAATGGCTGTGCAAGTGTAAAACCTAATTTTCCTGTTTTGTTTTCTGAAAGAGCTCTATTACGTTGGATCATTAAGCACTGAAATGCATGATGGTTCAACATAGTCAGTGACAGAAAATCCTGGTTGGCACTTATACACGCAAAACAGCTTAAATAATGACCCTGTTTTAAAAGCAGCATTCTTCAGATCAGTTTGGCTTTACAATCCACTAAAAGGCAGCACTCTGGCTCCCAAGGATAATGCTGTACAGTACTCCTTCATCTTTAGTTTCTTTTTAATATCCTTTTAAATGCATCATATAAAGTAGCAAAAAAGCTTCTGGTGAAGTTGGAATGGGATGGGGAGCAGGGAAGGTGTTTTTCACACCAGCCCCACACATAGGAAAGAAGACAGAACAAAAAAAGAGTTAAAACTGTCCTTCCAGTTTCTGTTTCACAAAAGGCAGTGCCCTCCATAATGGAGAGGACAAGAAGTATGGTTTTCCATGACAACACTGGGAAATACTGATAACAGGATAAGGAGGGACACAAAATTGAAGAGAAATGGTGGGGAAGCTGTATGATCTCTCTAAAGAGTCAATACAAAAGCCTCCCTTTAAATCAGTTTAAGCCAGAACTGTGGCAAAGTTTACACAACAAACCCAAAATATCATAAAAACTACTGAAATATTTACTTTCACTGTAAACAACAAAAAAGGCTCTTTTGAAGTGTGCTTCCCTAACTGAAGTGACTTTCCCTCGAATACTCCCTCCCCATTTCGACTGGATTGTAGTGTAACTTGCTTTCAGTCACTGCATTCGAGTGCAAGACTGTGCTTATCAAAAAGGGAAAAATGGTGTTTACATTACTAGCTTTCTTTCAGCAGCATACAGGATCTTTAAAATGTCATTAGTACATCACGTTCTTGTACACTAGTGTAGAAGGGTCTCCCAAAGATAAAGGAATGTAGACCAGGTTTGATCTTCTCAGCTAAAGCCATTATTATGTTAAGATCGCCCTCTGCTGTTAAGTCAAGGTCTATTTTTAAGCTACGGAGAGACTTAAAAGGCTTTTTTCCTTTCTGCCTGCAAGAGTAAAGAGAAAAACTGTTACAACATAGAAAGATTTCCTAGTGAACAAGAAATCCCCACCCCCTCCCTTCTATTATCTTTTTACTTACGTATCATCCTCTATGTACTTTATAAGAGTTAAGGCTTTTCTATGAAGGACTAGCAGAAACTGGGCAAGGAAAGTACTCCTCAGAGACAAGCCAGGTTTCAAATGAAAGACCTGTTAAAAATTACAGCAGAAAACTAAATTACATGCAACTCAAGTTTCATTCCAGGAATGTGGAAAACTAAAACATTGAACTAACATATATGTAACAGTTCCTAATTGTGCTAAAGCAAATGTATAATCATGAAAGGATACATTTTGGACAGATGTGATAAGCTGTTCTGCCATTCTATTAAGACAAATCATGTTTTTGCTCTTTTTTTTACATTACTTGAAATGGATCAGATTTGAGTGATTATACAATGCTGCAAGTTCAAGCAGTATTATACAGCAATAGGGGGTGTGCCTTGTTCTTCACAACTGTGTCTAGTATTTTCAGTGTTACATAGTACTGCAAATTAAGCTTGCAATGTTTAACGGCCATCTATTTGTATTACACGGTTACATAGGCAGTGTTGTTGTAGCTGTGTTGGTCCCACTTTGTTTCTATTACACAGTCAGACATTTTAAACCAACACCAATTTCTAATCCTACACGTGGTTGGGTAACAATCCCATGCTGAAAGGTACTGTCCTAGGCTGAGTGCACCTGGGATTCTACCCCCCCTCCCCCCGCACACACATATTTTCACCCCCCAATAGTCATTCCTGGATGCAGCCCCTCCAGTAAAGTACTTTTCAGGAAAAGACCACAGCTCAACAAGAATGGCATGTTGGCACTGTACATACTCAGTATTATATTACTTTTTGATTATTATAGTCATAGAATGACAGATATTTTACAGGAACCTGTAATTAGCAGGTCATAACATTTCTGCACATGTTCAGAGGAATCTCTCTTGTACTACTATTGTTGTGTTTTCAAATAATGCAGGGAAGGATCTATTTGTGTTAAAAAATTTGTTATATGAGAGTAGAGAATTGTTTTTCATCTTTTGCTCATTCTGAAAGAACAGCTATTACCTGCTCCAGGAAGGCTTTTACTAATGTATCACGATGCAGGACATCTTGAAAAACATTCCTGTGAAGAGACAACAAAGAAAGCCTGACATAATGTGATAAGGAGGCACTAAATATATTATATTGGTGCCTGGTAATAGCATTATAGTTAAGGGTCTGACAGAATTTAAAACAAATTAAAAAAAAGTCAGTTTTAGTGAATTATGATATGGGCTTTATTTTAAAAACGTTACTATAGAATATGAAACCGAACTTTTTCAGCCCAGATGCACTTAACAATAACCAGGTAAGCCAATGTCAGCTGTAAATGTACTTAGCTATATAGCATACTTATTTATTATTATTCAACCATATCAGATTGGATGGAATGTTATCAGGAATTTCATTGGGATGGAGTGCTAATGAAATACTGAGCAACAGGTACTCCTTCTGAAGTGTTTTTAACCTCCTATAACCCAATTCCCCAAGAAGAAAACACAGGCTGTTTATCCTGATTGAGGAAAGCACTTGCTGAATAAAACAGAACTGCATTTTATAAGAAAAGGTCTGACAAAATGCAACTACACTGTTATGCTGTCCTAAGCAGTATAATTTTGGAAGTATAAGGATAGTACATACAAATCAGGAGTGAAGCTTTCATCTGTATGAATAGTGATATCCTGAGCCATCTCTTCATCTGAATTGGCTCTCCAAAATGCTGCCAGCTCGGACCTCATGTATCGCCGTTGATTATAGATATGTTCATGGCAAGGGGGCATCTGCTTCACTGTGTTGACATCCACATCTATATGTGTAGTAGGATATGGAGCATACATTACTTGACGGAAGGGCAACACAAAGCTTCCAGTTGCATCCTGTTACAGCAAAAAAGAGTTAGAGAAGTCTCCCAGTTACAAAAAAATACCGGTATTTGAAACAACATTAAAGCACCAGTCTTAAGTTTAAAACAACGTGTTTAAATGCATTTCATTTTTGAGGTGTGTGTGTTTATAATTCTAGTTAAACCCTGTTGTAAAACTGGGTGGTTGTTTAAAGTAACAGTATACACATAAAATATCAATTTTTGGAGGGGGTGTTGGAAAATAGTGATGTGCACATCACTGCATTGTTTCATGACAGTCTTGTTGCTGGTAACACCCTTCCAGCAACTCCCTCGCACCAAATGGCACACCGTTCTCATGCTGCATGATGCTTGACATTAAAGTGAGTTACAAAGCCGTATGCGAAAGGAGAACAGCAACATTACAGCCATGAATGCAGCTTTAAATGAGCAAATACCCTACCAAGTGAATTGAACAGAGGTCATGAGAGAATACCATAGAGCATTATACAATATTTATCATGCAGGAAGCATGACAGCATTTAACTTTAGCCTTCTAAATTTGAGAAGTTTGAGCATGCACAAGTTTTTTTTCTTAAAAATATTTTCAGTGCTGAGAACATAATTTATCTTCACTCCTTGTAGAAAAGCTTTAGAAATTCTCTCAACACGTAAGTAGGTAGCGTACATAATCAGCATTTGAAGTTAGGAACCCTCCACCCAAGTGCACACTTGCTACTGAGAACAAAGAACTACTTAGTCTACCTAGTTAGGAGGCAAACAGATTGAGCTTTTATTTGGTTTTGATAAAAGGCATTGTTTCCCCTCCCCCCCCCAACGATATTGGTACTACTAGGTAAATACAATAAAAGTTAAATGTAAAAATGTGGCTCCCTTGGGTCCCTACTCCTCTCCAACAGAAGTCAGAGTGGGCAGGCAGGGACAGAACATTGGCTCCATCTTCCGAATGTGTTGGCCAGCACAGGTTCCACAATCTGTCCCTCAACGTCATATCATTTAGCTATAGTTTATCATCATCTGTCAAATTTAGTCTGAAAGCTCCTTGGAACAGGGGCCTTGTAATATTATTTGCCTATGAAGCACCATCCACTCCTACAGCCCTTTGTAAATATTTTGAAACTATTTTTCATAGTATGCTGGAGTGCTGGAGACTAACATTCTTTTCTCTGAGTCGGATTTAGCTAGCATATGCAAATTTTAAACGCTTGCCTGTATGGGTCTAGGATCCCCCAAAAGTAGCAAATCTATAGATTTATTCCCAAAGTGAAGGAACAATGACAAAAAACTATTCCTAAAGGGAATGGACAGTACAGAGGAAAAATTAGCTTGAAATTTTTGCATCCCTAGAAACAGCTTTAAGCCATGGAATATAGGTAATAATGTATTACTTGTATTACCATAGCACCTAGGAGCTCTAGTCATAGACTAGGACCTCATTGTGCTATGAACTGTACAAACATCAAAGAAAAAAGGATAGTCCCTGCCCCACAATGCTCACGCTCTAAGTATAAGACAAGACGCAACAGATGGATACAGACATATAGGAGAGAAGTCATGGTTATAATACTGGCATCAGGAATCAACAAGTGAAGAGGAAAAACTTCTTAAGACAACAATATATTTAGGTATTTTCAAGTTAAGATGATTATATTAAGAAATTGTAGGTTTCTGGATACTGGAGAAAAGAATTTAGAAAAAAAAAATCAAAAGTCACAATAAAATTGCCTTACCTTAAGCAATCCTTGAACAAAGAGTCCTGATTCATATTTGAAGGAAGATTCATTTCTACAGAGTCTGGAACACTTCCGTTCTGATGGAGTAAGAAACAGACACAATGTCCTCACTATCTGCAATACAAAAAGCTTTGTAAAAAATAGGCAGATGTATAGTAAAGAAAGTTTTGAACTTAGAACATAATACAGTACAGATTTCAAATAAGTGATTATCCAAGAAGTTCACTACACATTAGAAAAAAGAATGCTACAATAATGTCAAATAGTTACATACTGACATCTAAAAGTAGAGGTATTAAAATTAAACCACACTCCTCAAGACTACATATTAAATGAAAATAACACAGAACAAATATTAAACGGAACATCTAAGGTGGCATAGTTTAATTGTTTAGAGTCAAGAAACACAGAAATTTAGGTTACCACGGCAACATCAGCTTTGTTCATGTTGTACATCCAGTATAATTTTTATGATATGCTTTAATAAGTGTTCTAAATGCTCTTACTCAGAAGATGAGAAAAAGCATGGTCCATGCTGCAAGGAAACATTCAGTGGAAATAGATAATGAGCAGTTGAATGACAATGAAATAGAGTAGGAAATCAATAATTTGAGTTGTTCAGCAAATGTCTTGCTCAAAAGATGCTCTTGCTGTAGGAACTTTGACAGCTAATACTTATGTCAGAAAATGCAAAAACCTGCTTTAATGATGCAGTGATAGGTGTTTTTGCATTTTCAGAAAGACTAATAAAAAAAATCACTAAAGCAGACTTCCTGAAGGCATAAGTATATGTTTATTTTAAGCACTCCATCTAGCTGCACCATTAACAGAAACATAGTTCGAGGAGAGAGTATTTAGAAGCGCTGCTGTAGTTGTTACACAATATGCTCTTAACCTGTTTTCAGACATGCATTTCCCCAGCTTCTTTTCTTTTTAAAAAAAATACTGTGTATGCACAGCATGCAATTAAGATGCCCATAATTTTTTCCACTAATTTAGACTTCTTTTGCCACAATAATGCACATTTCATGATATACGTACATTCTCCTGCTTCTACAACCCCAAATATTCAGCAGCTTTTGTCTGAGCGCTCAATCATTTTATTTTTTCCTCTCTTTAATCTACTTCTCATTGATCTGATCAGAGATGCTCTAAGTATTAAGCGGAAAAAAAGAGCAACAGCTCTTTACTAATTAGTTATTTTAAGTATCGTGTTTAGAATACATACGTATTTTATCTGAACAATTTACATATAGATTATTATTTAATATTCCAGTATTGCCTAGGACTCCCAGTCATGGAGCAGGACTCTATTGTGCTAGGCACTGTACAAACTAATAAGATGACTCTACCAGCCCCAAAGCTTACTATAACCATGTCCTCTTGTTGTAAGCCTATTATATTAATATTAGTGAGTATTATACACACCCACTTAAGAGACTGACTCCCAGAACTAAAAAGAAGTCTTACAATGAAGGAAAGTTCAATCTTGTAAAATAAACTGGAACTCAATAAGAGGCGTACCATTAATTCGAAGCATAATCAAATAAAAAGACTGCATATGGGTTTCTTACATATAAATGGAGTTCTACAGAGCCACACTGCAGTGTCATGCCATAGCTTCATGAGACAAACAGTAGTAGTAGTAGTAGTAGTAGTAGTAAGTATTTACATTACTGTCGAACCCAGAGGCCCCAATACAGATTGAAACCCTATTGTGCTGGGTGCTGTACAGACAGACAAAAGACAACCCCGGCTCTAATAGCAGTGGTACAGGTTGCAGTCATTAATGGCACATCTGCCTCACACCTAAATGTTCTAGGACTACATGTTACTACAAAGTCCTTCTCAGCTCCTCTCTGACTTAAAGGTGCATATTAAAGGCCCCCCTTTTGGCGGAAGGACAGAGAGGCAATTCATCTGGAAAATTCAATTTACTGATAAAGATAGCTTTATTTTCTCCATCATGAGTTGCCTCTGCAATTCTCACTGTAGGAGATTAACTAGCAGTATTCACACTACAGGGGGTGGGACTGAAGAATGGCTTAATTAAATAGGAATCAAAGGACAGTCCTTCTGACCCAAGCATCTGATATATCCCAGATGAATGTAAGAATAATGTTTTGTGAAAGTGTGAATTCAACTCCCAGCATCAACCTGCTATTTTAAGAGACACCTTTCTAATAGAGACACAAAGTGAGTAAATTAATATCTTTTATTGGATCAACTTCTGTTGGTGAACATGACAAGCTTTCGAGCTACACGAAATTCTCCTTCAGGTCTGGACGCCTTTGTGTAGCTCCAAAGCTTGTCTCTTTCACCAACAGAAGTTGGTCCAATAAATGATATTACCTCTCCCCCCTTCCCTCTCTAATATACTGGGACCAACACTGCCACATCATCATGCCAATAACCTTTCTAATAGGGACTCTCAACACATTTAAAACTGGCACATCTGCATAACTGTAACCAATTTGTACATACAAATCCATTCAGAAAGCCTCAGAGTTAAAAGGGCTTCCTCCATTTCATTTTTCCAAACACAGCTGAACAGGTTTTCTAAAAGTATTATTCTTTTAAATATGTAGATATGCAGGGTGGTTTTGATTTAAATCATTAATCAGGAAGACTCGATTTAATCATGGTTTTCTACATAAAAGTGCATTCTTGTTGGTTGTTATAACCTTAATACACATTTTTCACAACTCAGAGATAGATGTAGGTTTCATTTTTAGAAGGTACACACTATACATTTTTAAACAGTGATTTAGTTTGAAAACTTTTTTAGTTTTACAGCTATATCAGAAAATGAATGAGTGTTTGGTTATTTAATTTACCAAAGGTAATTGAAGCAGATATTTATGAAGTCATTGGGAGATGAACTATCTCCAATTCAACAGGTTAAACATTAATATTTGGAGGATTTTCTTGCCATGCTGTATTAGAAGGAGAACATCACCAGACAAACATTTAAATTGTTTTAACTAAAACAACAACGTTAAGTATTCTGGATTTTTTTCTTCAACAGCAAACATATAATATTTAAAAAAAAACAAGCATATGTCCCTTGCTTCTCATATTTATTTCCAGACTTCTTCTCCTTGTCTGGATCTATTACGCCTCCAACAATCTTCTATTCATTGAACTTTTTGAAACTTTGCACTTTTAGAGAGAGGTAAGGGATTGACTCTGTGTACAAAAATTGGCAGCGGGACAACAGAGTTGAGGTCTGTTATTTCTCACCTGTATATATTATTTATTTATTTAATAACATTTTTGCTGTTAACAAGCATGTTACCTCTAAAGACACAAATCCAGTTTGAGAACTGCAAAACTAAGCATCTCTGACGGTATCTTCGAGACTAAGCACTGAGTCCCATTGGGTAGATAGAAAAATTAACCTAAATAATCTATACAGAAGCCTCTGAACCCCGTAAGATTGAGTCCTTAATCCATGAACTATTGGAACTCATTTACAAAACCTCTCAAACATTACATGAATATATTGTCCCATACTACAGAATTAGAATTTATAATTCCTATTCCATGATGAGATATCTTTGACCTATAATGTATCTTAATTAAAACTATCTTTAGATAGGTTTCTTCCTCAAAAAGCATTTTATCAAAAAAAATCCAACTGAAATAAAACAAATCCAATTTTTTTTTAAATCATGGATTTTTATCCACCCTGTAGCTGTATAATCACCTGACAAGTTAGTAGGCTTAGGAAGAAACAGTTACTTACTGTAACTATGGTTCTTCTAGATGTGGTGCAGACATGTATTCCATTTAGGTGCGCATGTGCCCAGCCCACCAGAACTGGATAAATGTGCCTAGCAGTACTTGTAGAGAGGTGGTATTGGTGCCTCATGGCTGTAGACCCTCCCCCGGCTACATGAGGTGGTACCACCCCAACCCTCCCTCCGTTCCTTTGCACCTGTCTTTTTTTCAAAAAGTGGTAGGTGTGGGGAGAAGGTAGTTTGCCATAGGAGTCTGCAACCAGTTATTCTTCTGATTAATGGTAGCACCACTGAGAAGGCTGTCTTCAGAGAGAAAGCATAAAGAGCATTATCCTGATATTCCTGGCCTTCTGCCTTAGTCCTCTTCCGTTAAGAAGGCATTCAGCCACTGCTTCCTATACTTTCTGATCGTGGAGGTGTAGGTAGCATAAAGCAAGCATCCTTTTGATAAGTTAGTTCCACAGACACTCCAGACAGCAAACATGCCAATCTACCAACGGACATCTTGCTATTGCAGGACTCAAATTTTATAAGTTTGCACCTGCACTTTGGATCTTTCATGTCTCCACTGAAACCCAGAACCTAACTGAGTTTACTGACCAAGTCACTAACATAATTCAGTTAGTACTGTTTTATTTTTTACATTAAAATATTTAAAATGTATCATTTATTTATGACTAAGGCTATGAGGATCATGGGGAAACTGCAGCACAGAACAGAAGTGCAAGGAGAAATCAAAGAACTGAGGGTGGCGACTTAGAAAATTTGCATCTTACATATGCATGAGTGACTCATAATAGTTTGGTGCTCATTAGATATTGTGTAAAGGCAATTTGTGATCCAGAAGCACAGCAAGTTTTACTCTGCAGTTGGGTATTCAATATGATAAAATTATGCATAGATTCGTTTATTTAGATAATATCCATTGCAATAGCTGAAGAGCTAAATGTTAATCCAGATGCCATCAGTTTATGCATATGGCTAATAAAAAAAATCTAATCCTAAAAACTATAGCCTCATTTTCCATAATTTCATATGCACAATAAAATAAATTAGTTGCTAAGAACTGTCAGAATACAAATGATAAATTATTTTTCATACTCAATTGCCAACCAACCATACAAATAAAAAAGTTCAATAGCAGTACAGTGCTGCTCCTGCCACATCAAATATATTTCTGGGAAATATAACATTTAACTGAATAATATTTTACTTTTCATTAATTGCCACTTTTACATTACTGCAGATAATCTGCTGACAGGCCAAATACAATAATCAGAATCCAATTTTGAGAATTATAAAATGCATTTACCTTATTAACTTTCTCTGCACTGCTACCTATAACCACAGAGCAACCACAAGTCTGCAGGTGTGAACTTATGGCACTGCAAATTAAAATGAAATACAGATTAATAAATACAACAGACTACTCCAAAACAAGTGCTTCAACATAATTCTATATGCAGAAATGAAAAACAAAACAAAAAGAAGCAGGCTTCAAACAGACTTTTCTTTACTTACATTACTAAACCTTTGGATTTTCATAACGTCTAGATTTTAGTATGATTCATTTAAGAAATAGGAATCTGTTTTTTTAATTACTACTATGAAGCCATCCTGGCTGAACTGAATTAAGTTACTGGAAGGCTAACTTAATTATGGGTTTAGTGTTTAAGAGTATAAGGTAATTTATTTAAGATAAGCAAAAGTAAAACTATACCTTCAAATTAAGGGAACTTGAATTATACAGTGATTAAATAGCTTTCATTGGTAAAAGAACACAGGCACTACAGTAAGGTTCTGAGTCTTGCTTCTTTCAATTACTAAACACATCAGGGCCTTGATCCCACAAGCATCTGCTACCACATATCTCAGTACAAAAAACCAACACCACTTCAGGATCTAAGGTAGTACACAACACTGAAGAGTTCTTTGTATGTATGAATATACTTCTGCAGTTGCATTTTGGAGTTCCACAAGGACGCATGACTGTGCTTAATTTTCACGGTCAGAATTATTATAGTCACTTTGTCAAGTCCAATTTTTATTCAATGAACAAAAAACTCAAAATATATACTGAAGCCATGATAAGTTTAAAATTTTAATCTGGCAAAAGCCAGGAAGCTCCCCTATTCCTCAAGGGCATAACTGTGAGTAGTGCAGCACAAGATGCTCAGCTGAACAGGCTATATGCAATGTGTAGCTCTGGGGAATATACCATGTTGGTTTACTGAATCAGTTATAATGCAGCTATTTAGTAATGAGAATATACAGTGACCAAGTGCTATTCTCTGTACCTATATCTTAATCAAAAACAAAAGAGCGAGGTCCTGTTATTTGTTGTATCAGAGCCATACTAATAGAATGCTGCATTAACACAGGACCAATTTCTTTTGATGTCTCTTGGTGGAAAGCAATTCACCTACAATAAACCATGTAGGATATGCTCTCAACGTAAAATCATGACTGGTGTGAAGAAAGTAAATAAGGAAGTATTATTTACTCCTTCTCATAACACAAGAACTAGGGGGTCACCAAATGAAATTAATAGGCATCAGGTTTAAAATAAACAAAAGGAAGTATTTCTTCACACAACGCACACAAGAGCTGTGGAACTCTTTGCCAGAGGATGTTGTGCAGGCCAAGACTATAACAGGGTTAAAAAAAACTAGATAAATTCATGGAGGATAGGTCCATCAATGGCTATTAGCCAGGATGGGCAGGGATGATGTCCCAAGCCTCTGTTTGCCAGAAACTGGGAATGGGTGACAGGGGATGGATCACTTGATGATTACCTGTTCTGTTCATTCCCTCTGAGGCACCTGGCATTGGCCACTATCGGAGGACAAGACACTGGGCTAGATGGACCTTTGTCTGACCCAGTATGGCCATTCTTATATTTTTCTAAAAGCTAACTTGCCTCAGGATTGAAAACCTACATAAATCCTTGCAACAAAGTGCTTTATGAACACTAAATGCTATGAAACTGCTAGGTATATGAACACAGTCACTATTTGATTTGTGTAGTGGGTGTTTGGTACTGTACAACACAGTGACGGTTCTATGAGCTAGGGACTATCTAAATTCACCAGGCAATTACACAGAGATGTTTTGAGGAATGACAGAAGATCAATAAACACCCCCATTAAAGATGGGAGTGTGTTATGTGATTTCCTAACACAAGAGACATTTGTGTACTGATTTACTAATGGTTAACTATTTTTATGTTAAAGAAAATGGAAGAATTAAACATTCTGAGTACAGAAGAATGTGCATGACATTTATGGATTTGTCATTCTTTATCTGTGACTTTAACCCATGACTTTTCCTAAACTTCCTATGACATAACCACTACCTGACTTACTGTGTTAAGAAACTCAAAACCCTTTGTCTATGTCCCGTCTGAATACTTTTATCGCTTAGGCAGACATATAAAGAAGCGATACGAGCGCTAACGTCGCCTCACCCCAAATTAACTCTTAACCACCAATACAACTAGACTTTGAAGAATTGGATTTTTAAAAAACTATTTTGACATATACTGATGTTTATTTTTAACCATTTTTTCTATTTAAATTTTCACATTGGTGGGAAATTATGGGGAGAGGGGTTTCAGACAATTATTTAATGACAAAAGATATTGAGATTCAAAAAGTTAAAGCTTTGTAACTGGTAAAACACAAATTGTCAACATTTCATGTCAAAATATACAAAGCAAATATCAAATCAAATGCTTGCAAGCTCTGAAGCAGCATTTTTCTTACTTGCCTATCTGTAACTTTGATTATCATTGATAGACAGATTTTTTTGTTGCTTTGTGCATATCTGGAGAAATCAACATTTACCAATAAAAATCTAATCCTTCCAAGCCTAAAAACAACCAATTAAGAGACACTGGCATCATTTACTTTTAAAGTGGTTTCACAACAGCATAAAACAGAGAACAAGACCGTACTTGAGGAGAAAACCTTCATGGCAACTGTCCCCAATGTCATCATCATTTAACACTGTGTCACTTATCTGGAGTGCAAAGGAACAGAAAGAAGGGTTAGATGACGTGGTGTAACAAGCCACATTAAAAACATTTTATTTTGGATTTTTAAGGATATGTGGTGATAGCTTAAGTGACTCCTAGACAATCTCAGGGCTGGTCTACACTTACCCCCCAAATCGAAGTAAGGTACGCAAATTCAGCTACGTGAATAACGTAGCTGAATTCGACATACCTTACTTCGACCTTACCGCGGTTCAGACGCGGTCCACACGCGGCAGGCAGGCTCCCCGTCGACTTCGCGGTACTCCTCTCGCTGAGCTGGAGTACCGCAGTCGACGGGGATCACTTCCTGGTTCGATTTATCGCGTCCAGACCAGACGCGATAAATCGAACTCGGAACTTCGATCCGCAGCCGTCGAACTAACCGGTAAGTGTAGACTAGCCCTCAGTTTCACAATTGTGAGGAATCAAGCATGTTTAAGACTCACAAAAATACAGCTCTTCCTGTTTTAAACCGTTAACCTCTGAGGGAGGTTAACAGATATTAAGAGACAGAAAAGAGTAATTATATCATCTAATCCATTTTCCCCCAGCTCAACCACCACTGATATCGTTCCCAAGAGTATATTTTTAGTGCTTCAATCAAAATATTTTAAACTGGCCCAAGTGATGGTGTTTCCTCTCCTGTCCAGGGAAGGATTATTCCACATTCTAATAGATCTCACCATTAAAACTCTTTCCCCTAATATTAATTTTATTTGATGACATCCTTTCCTTTCCCTTTTTAAAAAGCATAATACAGTTGACAGCCAATTTTGCTAAGTGTTGATCAAAAATTATTGCTACTGCTCAGATATTTATGAGAAACTGCTATTAGCAAAAATACCATTTAGGAGAGTTTCCTGTGCCAAACAGTTAAAGAGAATCATGATTTATGGTATCAATTATTTATTTTACCAAAGGCAACATTAATAAGAGTGGCATAGTTGCTTCCTTTTCAAAACGCAGCAAACATAAGGACTTACATTTATTTCTTCCGGAACACTGTGTGATTTCATAGATGAAAGAAGTTCCATTACAGGAATAACTTCTCCCGTCAGCATTGGAATGATGCTTTGGCCCTGTGCAATAAATAACATGTTGTGAAATAAAAGCATAGCATGCAGTATAGAAAGCTACTAGTAACAGAAATTTTTAACACTAAAGACAGAATAATTTTAGCTTCTTTATTTTTTGGTGGGGAGGGCGGCAAGACCACAAGACTAGAAGGGAGCAGGAAATTGATACATATGTTTTTCATATATTCATACGTTTTTCAGTTTTGCTCATCAAAAATAGCCAACTGGAAATAAGCAGCTGACCCAGTAACAAGAATGTTTATAATTAGTTTCAAGGCTTTTATTCTAAATACCCAATCAATTTGGCTTGACTTGGACAGGATAGATCTAGAGGTAGGTGACTGTATCATAGTGTATTAGATGTAATTATCAGTAAATATTATATTTCTAAAAGTACATGTTTTGGAGACAAGGAGACAAACAGATAGAGGCTCATTAGCTAGATTAGCATCGGAATCAAATGATGAGTTCTCTGATTTTATACTTTGCAACAAGCTCTAGGGTTGTGCTTTCACATGTATTGCTTCAGAAACCAAATTCTCTTTGTAATCTCAGCCATGAAGTCTATAATGACTTCTCTCTTGGACAGTTACAAGATAATAGTTACCAAGCATCAGTTCTCTGATCCAGCTGACTAATGACCTAGTAAAAACCTACCCATGAGTAAACAAGGGTAGAAGAGTATAAATGTAAGGAAGCTGCTACCTTTGGAGAACATCATGTTCGAGTAAGTGGCCTCCCCATTTCTGAAAGGTAATATTCTTCACAGAGTTCCACTTTACCCATAAAGCGACGGGATATAATTTCCTTCAATTTGGTCATAGCTTCCACCATCTTATCTTCACAAAGACTGCCTCCTGTGCATGGCAGCTCACTCTGCTAGTCCAAAAATATCTTCCTGGATCCCAAAAATAAACAGCAGTACCGACTTCTACAGTCACCAGTTCCAGTAATAGCTTTCTGATGGTATGCCATATGCAGTCAGTCAGTCACTCTTACCTGATCCTCCATTCTCTCCGTGCTTTCCAAGACAATCTTCTGGAAATGTTCTTGCCTCTCCTGAGCAAGAGAAGCAGTTAATTTTCACACAAGTTATAAAAGCTCCAGTATTTGGCTATAAAATTATGCACCCATCAGTCAACTGGTAAATGTTCTTCCCTGTAGAATCACACTTCTTTGATTCACATTTTGATGTTCAAGGCATTTTCCTTTATAGAGCTATTTTGTGGCAAATACTACCCCCCCATCACCCGCCCTCCCCATAAACCTCTAACTTGTGGGGGGGGGGACGGGGAGGAGGAGGGAAGCTGAAATAAAACAAAAATATCCTTCACTCTCTGATCACGAAAATACCAGATGGATCGGTCTCAGGGGAAATAAAGATGCTAAATTCAGCTATGCTGATTTTTACTTATTTTTTTCACTGCAAAAGGAGTAAGTTGTTCCAGCTTAACAAAACAAGGGAAAAATGCAATCTTCAGGAAGAGGAAACTTATTTGCTTTTGGGAAGGGGATTTGTTCCATATCTTGAGATACTGGCAGATCTTCAATACATTAACTGTTCTAGAACTAAATATTGCAGACATCCATGGAAACGTCAAGGTACTTCACCACAGGATACACAAGAGGTCACACCAAAAATTCAGCGAGAACTTTGGCAGCGTCAAGTCATCAGAACCTCAGTAGTGAATGATGATGATGAACGTAATCATTTACAACAATTCAGCATAATATGCTATGAAAACTTGGCCCTAATGAATGGCATAGTCAGAACAACATTATAGGCAATGAATATTTTGCACGCTCCAGAGATGTCTTCTTATAGAAGCTGAAGTGTTGCCACATCTTTCGCAGGTTTACTCATTAATCTCCTGTGACTGAGCTACTCAAGGCTGATCAACTGCAGAACAGAAAGCTTACATACCTCCTCAGAATAGATGAGGAAGAAACAAGTTAGAGTAGATTTCCTCCTGCCAATGATAAAACCTAAATGAATCTGAAACAAGTGCCTGTGAAAAACAACATTGGTGCTATATAGATCCCTTAAAGGCACTTCCCCTCCTTGACTTGGGCTCCAATGAGAAATAACTTCATTGACAAACAAGATTCTTGGTTTTAAAAAAATTTCAGTCTTCATGTAGTTGAAACTGAACAAATTACTAGAATCCCTTTTCTCTTTTGAAATTCTCTGCTAGGAATTATTGGACAAAAACACATAAAACTTCAAATATCTAGCTTTGTAAAAGCTAAACAAGATTCTAGACCTATTTGGAATGACTTCTAAACAGTTGCTTGTCTGTCTATGTCCAGCATTCTAAACATAGATTCAGATGTATGCAGAGCAAAGTGGATATGCCCAATGCAGGATGCTATTTCAAATCTGTAGCGAGTTTCTCCCTCCTAATACAATCTGGTTTGAACTGCTGATCATCCTATGACAGAACTCTTGAAAACCTGGAAGACATGGTATCTGGTAGGAATGCCAACACACACTGGTGGCATCAATTAAGGCAAGACTTCAAGACATTTGTTTTCCATTTTAACCTGGCATGTTGGGTTGATTGATAACTGATGTAGAAATCTGCCTTTGTTCCAAGAGACACAGTATTACACATTTTCTCATTTTAATAATATTTAAATTTCATATTATTATGCCCAGAAACTGTCAGACACTGATATCTAAAATGTATACAATGCTATATTTGTAATCTACATTTTTAGAGCATCTATCACTGAGGTGTCTCTATTGTGGGCAAGGACTGAGCTGGGATAGAGATAACGTATGTAGAAGGGCTCATAACTGCTCAAGAAAAAACACAGATAAATAACTTTCTTTCAGAGTTTAGCACTCTGCCACTGACTGAGCCTGTCTGTTCCAAGAACAGCTGGTGGGAAAACAAATAAATAAAGTCAAAGATCTCACAACTAGTTTTTTGGGGTTGACAGAACATTTTCTGCAAGTTCCAGTGTAGCTACAACTCCAGAATTTCATCATGAAAATCTTTAAATCTGTACATCAGGAAACAAATAAATGACTGCTTCCAAAAATGAAGTGTCATGTTGAGTTTGATCATTTTGCCTCTAAAAGGTCAAAGCGTAGAACAACACAAAAATGAAGAAAAGATCTGTCCACAAGCACAAGACCATGATAAACATAACTAACCTATGGTTGTTACAGAATTAACTGCTAAACAACATATTTGAGTTTTAGGAGATAGGACTGGGCATGAAATATTTGTGACATTGCCCTCATCTAGAGAAAATGAGAGTTTAAATACCTATTCTTCCTTTGTAAAGTATGACAAAAATATCAATACTAGACATGCTGGAAGACAAGTTTCCACAGGGTTATCCTATGGAATCAATAAATTGAGTACTCTGACAAAATGGGAATTAGGAGATAAATTACTTGAGTCTCCTACCTCAAAAATAGAATCAAATAACTTTTAAGAGGTGCTCTTTTATAAAATATATATATTTTTTTTATTGACTAGGTCCTAGTACACAAGATAAAACTAGAATTTCCGCCCCCATCAGACAGACACTTTAAAACAACATCAATGCTTACCACTTTTTCAAGCAAAATTATAAGATGCTTATTAGCTATGAAGCATTGGGATTCTCTTGCACAACAGAATTATACTGAAACAACTTTTACTGTATAAAGATAAAGCAGCTTTTTCTTTTTTTTCTAAAACACATTCAGTCTGCAAAGAAGCTTTTACAGCAAGACCAGAACTGAGTTATGTAATCCTTGAACACAATTTGATTAATAAAATTGCCTTTGGGATTCCAAATGAACTGTTCTTGCACTAAGTGGGAACTTGTGTCTTGAATCCTTGCTTTTTGTTATGAAAGTGTGTTTTTTTCATTTCCCTTGGTTCTGTTACTTTTATGCAATGTTCCTGTTTTAGTCTAAAAGTTCATATTTTCTTGTCATTTTAAGTACTTACGTTAGTCATCAATATGTCTCAAAAACCCTACGTGCAGGATGTTAATACTCTGTATAGGGATTCAGCTTACTCAGCTTTTCCTGTTTTGGGATCAAACACACCGACAGCATCTTTCCAAAAGGTGTTGAGGACGTACAGATCCCAGTACCTTTAAAGGCTCATATACATTTTCTTAGCTGGTGCTTCAGTGCAGCATAGGGAAATTACACAGGGTTTTGTGTGCCCACAGTGTTTTATTTTATAAAAATAAAAGCAACACAATTTTTATCATAAGCATGGGGAGGTAAAAAATGTTTCCATAGGAGGCTAGCATCAACTGAATAGAACTGTAGGGGACCTCAGGCAAGTCGTTACCAGCCCTGATAGGAGTTGCATGCGCTCAGGTGCAAGCCCTGAATTTGGTAGCATTAGGATCAATTTTTAACATACAACTCCAGCAGTTGTATTGAGGTAGAGATTTTATTTATAGATCTAAGATCAAGTTTGTTTCTTGGATTGTTATGTAATGTGACTCAGGGAGACTGTTGCCTTTACAAAACATATACCTATTTTCTATACAATGATTAAAAGTCTTACAGGTTTTTAACATTTGGTTGCAATAAAGAACAAACCTACCTTATGCATCCATATTCTTCCTTTCCTTATAATATGTGTTAACCTATCAACACACACTCTGTGAAGAGGAAGATAGAAGCCAAGTTCACTTTGTGGAAGTATAATTGATAGTCCATATGTACTTCTGTCCCCATTCCAGTTTCCATCAAAGATTAATGACACAATAATTACTCCTTTTTCTGCCAAGACAAAAAACTTCACATCTATTGCTCCACTCTCTGCATTCCTAAGTATTTCCCCATTCAATGTGTGATTTGCAAGAAAAGTTATTTCTCCATCACTGAGAAGCATCTGTTCCGTCTTTGGGGCCCAGATGTGTCTGACTCTAGGTCCAAGAATATTGTCCCAGTAGGCAAAAGTAGCAGCTAGTAATGGTGAGTCCCCATTCAAGGAGATCTCTGTCTTGGCAACTGCAGGAGAAGGAGGTGGACAGAGAGCTGACATGACTGCTTCTTAACTGTCACATCATAGAGATTTTTTCCATCACCTAGAAAAAAAGAGTTTTAAAAGAGAAAAGAGTGAGATTAGCACTGGTTATTTGTTTGCCCCTTTTCTTCTTCACTAAACAGATGACAGACAAGTTTTGATTTCTACCTTATGCATTTGGGATTCTATTCTAATCTCCGTGTATGGATGAAGTCTACAAGTGCACTTTTGACTTAAGTATAGTTGTGTGCACAAGTCTGTTACATACGAGTGGGATAATAAAATAAATCCTGTGATTGAATTTAAAGACCTAATTGTTGATTAAGGCTCTTTCAATTCCCTATATGAATACACTAAAACCAATTAGTATACACCAAATATGAAGCTACAGCTAATTTTTGAGAAATTACATATATCTTGAATATTTTCATGAAACTCACAAATCAAGTTTATGTGCCAGACACTTAATTTACAGTGTTGATTTCTCATTAGAAAGCTGTAAATCTTGACCATTTTGTGTTAATTTGTAAATGATATCTAGATACCATGACAACAAACAGACAATTTATAAATGCTATTTAATAAATACAGATACCACATACTACTATTAACGGATAGACTTGGTATGATCTTGGCATACGTCGTCTCCCTGCCCCACACACAAACAAAAGAATAATGAAGTTAAAATCACCATTGATTTAGTGAGGAGCCACATCTTCCCCATATAAGAAAGAAAGGTCCTTTCTGAGCAGAAACCTAACACTCAACCACTAAAGCATCTCTCTTGAATCAGTTACATAGTTATCTACATCCTGCAATTTCTGCACATGAGCATCAATTGCTAGTGCTGTTTATAATGTACTGCTGAAGAAATTCCTTCCACAAAAGTCAGATTGTTTTATTCATCTCTGCAAAAAATATTATAAGTGCTTATACACTTAAAAAATAGCACATCTGCTTAAGTATTTTCTGTTCCTGCACTGAGAACCATGCAGGCAGATCTATGAGTCCTTGCAGTTTTCAGGGCATGACTGGAGCTTAAAAGAAGAAAAACATTCATTTAACAAGTTCAAATTCTTAAGACAGAATACATAGCATAACGACAGATGCACTTCTTAGATCAGGGGTAGGCAACCTATGGCACGTGTGCCGAAGGCAGCACACGAGCTGATTTTCAGTGGCACTCACACTGCCCGGGTCCTGGCCACCGGACCGGGGGGGCTCTGCATTTTAATTTAATTTTAAATGAAGCTTCTTAAACATTTTAAAAACCTTATTTACTTTACATACAACAATAGTTCAGTTATATATTATAGACTTATAGAAAGAGACCTTCTAAAAACTTTAAAATGTATGACTGGCACGCAAAACCTTAAATTAGAGTGAATAAATGAAGACTCGGCACATCGCTTCTGAAAGGCTGCCGACCCCTGTCTTAGATACTGGCGAGACACTATTGCCTCACCCCCAAAAGTGTCAAACTGTACATTTCTCAAAATGTTAATAATTTTAGGAAATACAGACTTGTTCATAGTTGGACTACATATACATTTGAGGTGTGCAAAAGATAAAGCATATATTCAACTGCAACATTCCGCATAGAGCCTGCAAGAAAGACACCAGCATATTCCAAAGAGAAAAAACTAAAGACTCTGAAGTTTAAGGTTGCTTGCCACAGAACTTGAATTGGGATTGAGGGGAAACAGGTATTTTTGCTGATACAGACTAACATGGCTACCATTCTGAAACCTGTCACAATGGAGAAGAACTCAAGATAGCAGGATATTAGCAGTACTAATAGAATACTGACAGTACCAACCCTAGGCACTTATTAAATTACTACTGAATTTTTTTCATTCTTAAAGCACAAGACCCTGAGTTATCCGGGTGCTGACTACTGACTCTTTTTCAAACAGCTCTAGTGCTTTCTGGTTTTAGTGACTTATGCAAATTTCAGAATGTTTTTCTCCTTCATCCTACCATCTACAATCAGACCCATTTTATTTAAAACATAACAGTTGGGTGGCTTATTATCATTACACCTGGCTGAAAAAAGATACCTTTTCAAAAAAAAAGTTTTTGACCAGCTCTAGTTGTAATATTTTTGCACTAAGCTGTATATTAAACAAAATTTGAACTTATCCCAAGTGTTTGTCTCTTTCCCCTACCCAATGTTTGTCTACACTTAAAATGCTACAGCAGCACTGCTGTAGCTGCACCACTGTAGTCCTTCAGTTACTCCTGAGGGCATTCTGAACCAAAAAATTAAAAATTCTGCACACAATATTTTGAATTTGTGCAAATTTTATTTATCAAATAAATTTGGAAGCTCCAGCATGGCATTGGGGAGCACAGGCCACTGGCTGCACAGAGGTGGGAGATCATTGTGAAGCTCCCCCACGAGGCACGGATTCAGCAGTGAGGCTGCACCCAACCCTGTCACAGCGCAAGGACTGGGCCTGCCCCAGAAACACCCCAGGACCATGCCCCTCTGTGCCAGGTACACCAGGTGTGGGCAGGGAGGCTCAACAAGGCAGGATCCAAGTGTGGAGGGATTGAGGTGTGGGTTGAGAGGGTTCTGCGTGGGGCAATCTGGATGCGGGCAGCTCAGTGCGGAATCCAGGTGCAGGGGGGATCTGGATGCACAGGGGCTTGCTGGGGGGTTCTGGGTGTAATTATATGGGACTCTGCAGGGGTGTCCAGGTGAAGGTGATTGGGGCTCAGCGGGGAAGGATACAGAGCTTGGCAGGGGGGTATGGGTGTGGGGGGGCAAACTGGGGGGGTCCAGATGCAGCTGGTTGGGACTTGGTGGGGTGGGGAATCTGGCTGCGGGTAACTTGTCTGGGTGATCCAGATGCAGGGGGAGTGGGGCTCATGGGTGGGGTTTCTGAGTGTGGGGGGTGACGCTTGGCAGGAGGGTCTGCGTATGAAGGGGTCTGGATGCACGGGAGTTGGGTGAATGGGGGAGCAGCTCCCTGTACAGGGGGGATCTGTCCCCCCTAGAGCTGAGGAGTGATGGGTGTAGGAAGTGGGAGTGGGGCGAGTTTGCAGAGCTTCCTTCAGCCAGGGGGGAAAATCTGGGGGTGGATCTGACCCGGCCCCAGATGCTGTGCAAGGGAAGAGGAAGTTCTGTCCTCCCCAGCCCTAGCAGCTGAGCCCGGTGCAGAGTAGGAGCCACCAGCCAGGTCTTCCCCCATCCCTCCTCCTGCTCCACAGTGATTTACCTCTCTGCCGGCTGCCCTGGGCCCCCGAAACATAATGCTGGGGAGAGTCGCATGATGGCTCTTCCCCGCAGAAAGTCATTTTTCTGCGGGGAAGCAAAGAAATCTGAAGTGGGACATAAATTCTGTGGATGCACAGGAGTAATTCAGTGTACACCACCTACGCCAAAGGGGGGGATTCTCCCACTGGTGTAGATAATCCTTCTCCCTAAGAGGGCATGTGAAAAATCCGCAACCCGATTGACATAGTTAAGTCAATTTAATTTTCTAGTGTAGACCAGGCCTCTATCTGTATCTGGGAGTCTCTTCCTCTCTGTATTCCACTGTCTATTTTCATTTATTCTACAATAGTAATTCCATCTCTCCATTCCACTCTCTTTTCCTGTGTTGTGTACACTTTGCCTTTCAAGCTCTCCCTCTAGTTTTCCCAAAAAATCTCCTCTCTTTTCTCATAGCCTCAATCTCTTCATTTTCTAAAAGAGCGTACTGACTTAAATAAAAGCAATTTAAATCACCGATTTTAATAATTCTTTAAATAATCAATCTTAATTCGGTTTTGCGTTTGTATGTACTTTCTTTAGGAAAATAACTATTTAGTCTCACTGGCTGGTAACTATTAAGCCATGTTGATTAAAAACTAAATATAGCCTTTGCACTAAACTTGGTGCTTCTTAATGTTAACCAGGATACGCTGTATTTATACACATTTTAAGTTATTTAACATAACTTACATTTATTCATAGTCTTTTATACATTATTTTGTTAGAAAATGGTGTATGATGCATTTTTTACTCGATTAAATTCTCTACTTTTATGGAAACTCAAATCCATTAATTTTTTTAAATGTTGTTTTTGTGCATTTTAAGTGTACCGGATACATAAGAAAAAAGTTTATCAAAACATATTTTGCATTTAAAACTAACATTTATTAAACAAAGGAATTATTAGCTGCTGTTGGTGAACTGAATTGATTGTTTCTGTTCATCATGTCCTTCAAGATTTTAGAACTATTAGATCTCATCCTTATACCCAATTTTTATTCATAGACTGGAAAACAAGTTTTCTTGCTTCTTCAACTCACAATTGGTTTCTTAATAAACTCGTCATTGAACTACTTGAATGAACTGAAATGAAGAAAATAGTCTCTCTGTACCAGCAGAAAAGGCTAATGCTGTCAAAAAACTGGCGAGTGACTTTTGCCAGTTCTGTGGTTTGACTTTCTTTAAAGCACAGCAGCAAACACATACTGCTTAATATTATTTTTTGTATTTAATTTAAATTTTAATAGATTGTAACTAGCTTAGGCCTTAACATAGGTTGTCAATTTCAAATTTAACTTTAAATTAAATAGAATTTAGATTTAACTAAAAACCAGTTTATTTATTTTTTAAAGGCGTGATGCTACTGAGTTATCCAGCCTCTCCATTCCAACAGGTTATTTTGACTGGAGTGAAATCTGCAAAGCTCAAGCAAATGCTTACCCAACAAGGAGAAGAAAGGCACCACAGCACAAAAGGAGGAAGAGGTGTGAAAGTTCTTACTGCACAGCCTGTGAGACAGATCCCTCCTTACCCCAGGCTCAAAACCACAGAAACATGAAAACATAAGCTACCAAAAGCAATGACACACTTTACTGGAGAAAGCAACAGAGGGTCCTGTGGCACCTTTGAGCCTAACAGAAGTATTGGGAGCATAAGCTTTCGTGGGTAAGAACCTCACTTCTCCCCTTGCATCTGAAGAAGGGAGGTTCTTACCCACGAAAGCTTATGCTCCCAATACTTCTGTTAGTCTTAAAGGTGCCACAGGACCCTCTGTTGCTTTTTACAGATTCAGACTAACACGGCTACCCCTCTGATACTTTACTGGAGAAGGCGGCTACTCACTGCACTGGGGCGGTGGGTAATGGCCACAGGTGGGCACCAGAGCCATGCCCCACTAATACCACCACCCACCTCTTGTGTGTCTCACTTCACCTCTAGAGCTCGATGCACTTTGCAAAGGAGGCCACGATCACAACCCCTGCTTCTCAGGTGGAGAAACTGAGGCACGGGCGGGTGAAGTGAGGTGCAGAAGGTCACCCACCAGGTTAGTGGCCGAGCTAGGGACAGATCCCAGATCTCCCGCGCCCCAGTCCAGGGCTTGGTCCACCGAGCCCACACAGCCACCCCCTCCCCGTATACGGCATCCCCTCCCCCTTCATAACCGCCCCTCCCCCCCGGCTCGCGGGTGCAGCCCCAGCTGCGCGATGAGCCACCTGGCTCCAGGCCCCGCCCGCTAGGAGACTCCCTCTGTCCCTGACGGCAACGGCCACAACGTCCCCCCTCAACCGCTGCGGGGGAGACTCGCCCCAGTTACTCGCCCGCCCAGCCCCCAGCCTCACCTGCGCAGCCGCACTCCCCGCAGCCGCCCGCCGCGCGCCGGAACCGCCACACTGTACGGACAAACAAGCCACGCTCGTCGCCGGCCTCAGACAAATCCCCTCGCGCATGCGCCTCCGCCCCCCTTCTCCCCCCGCGGCCCGGTCTGTCTAGCTGGCGCCCCCGCGCTGGCAGCAGTGGCGCGCGGGCTCCCCCCGCTCCCGCACGCGCAGGCGCGCGAGGCGGGGAGAGAAGCCAGTCCGTGCACGTGAGCGTGCTGCTGCTGCTGGCACGGCCCAGTGGCAACATACGTGTACGGAGGCGTCTGTGGCTGCAGGGTCATGGGGGGAAGGAGGAGGTTACGGTGTAGCACTGATTTTTGCAACCCCATAACTTCCAGCCCCTGCCCACCGTAAAAACATGTTAGCTCATCATTCACTAAAAAGAACGGGTACTTTTTACTTGCCTCCTGGATTTTGGCATTAGGGGTCAGGTCACATTTTCAAGCTTTTCTCTCTGTGCCTTTTTCTTTTTTCTAAAATGAAAATCCCATGTAATCCTATGCAGCACCTCACACAAGGAACTTGTTTTAGGTCTTTATGCCCTACTATGACACAAATACAATAACAGGGTCAATACCAAGCATTCAAAACTCATAATTACCTTAAAAACAAATTTTTATTTGATGTCTCCGTTTTGACCTGTCAAGATTAAGGACTCCAAGCATCCATAACCATGAAGGATAGATACTTTCTTTTCAAGTACAAGATGATAGTCCCTTGTAATCACATAACTCCAGCAGCTGAATCTGTAAAAAACAAAAACAAACAAAAAATGCACACCAAATATTACAAGAGTTGGCAATAGGGAAAACCGGACACCTCATCACCCTATTTGGCAACACTATGATGCACTCCCTGGCCTGAAGATCTTACAGTCTGACCAGACAAGACAAACGGTCCCATTTTACAAATGAGACACAGAGAGGTTACAGCTCTATTGCTAACAACTGCCCAGGAGTCTGGACATTTAGTGAAATTCTTTGTGGGGTCCTGGCTTAAGTGACTTGCCAATGTGCACAAAGGAAATTTAAGGCAAAAGCATGGAACTGAATTTCAGTCTCCTGTGTCCTAGGCCACTGCTGTAAGCACAAAATCATCCTTCCTCTCAAAATTCCTTTAAAATTAAAGAATATAATTCCAGTTTCATAAAGATTTAATACACTACGGTGTTATGCAACTTTTTGCCATACCATGGCAAGAAGCAAATCTCTAAACATACGCTTACTGTGCTTTTGTTACAGTATAGCCCTTTTTTAGTTTGTTTTTAGTAGTTGACATGGTTTTTATTTTTTACAAAATATCACTTAGAAAAGCCTATATACAGTTTTATTTTATATCAATTATGTACATTTATTGGATTATACTATTGTTTTGTAAAAGGTAAAATTTCAATTTAAAAATCATTCAAAAATGTGTACAACTGTTCTTTGAACAGTGGAACAAATTGCAAAACTAGCTTGTAGTGATAAAAGCTGTTGAAATTTAAATTGTCAGGCTAAAAATCAGGCATCAAGCTCAAAGCTAACATAAACAGGCTCAGCAATTTTGACTACAGTGCAATCCTTACATCAAGACTAAATTTGACCTTATATATATTTTTTAAATTCGTTATGCTAGTTACTAACATACTAAATTATTAAAATTGAAAGGATGATATATTTATTTGTTCATTATTTATGCAGTTTACTGTTTACATTTCACTCCTTTTGGACAGCAAAAGTAGATTGGGTAAACCCTACCTCTGATGTATGAGCCAAACAGTAAGCTCTATAGGTTAGAAGCTTAATAGGAAATTTGAATCTAGCAGCATACAGCCTTAGTGAAGCAGCAGAGCGGTAAAGAGGGTACGGTATTGGAGGAAAAAGTTAGGGGACCTCAGCTCTATCTATTGTTTCTGACATTGAGTTGCTATGTGACCTTGGGCAAGTAATTTAACATCTCTGTGCCTCAGTTTCCCCATCAGTAAAAGGGGAACCTACTTTGAAAGCTATGAATAAAAATTATGAGTGTTAAACATTATTATTAAAATAAGTAGACATGTTTCCTTTTAATATATATTGCTGTTTGGTTGCCATGCTGAGGTATCTGCAAGGGCAATTCATTTCTGTGTTAGCAACTTTGCCCTTTGCCTTTTTGTTTTTCCGTCAACTCTTTGGGTTTTCTTCATGTAGCCAACAAAATAGGAATCTCATTTTACATGATCTGAAAAGACTAAAAATATGCATGCAGGTGCATTTTGCAGAGACAGTAGAGAAGTAGTGATTGACAGATTGCTATGTAAGCAGATATTTTTCCAAGCAGAAAATACAGCTGGTGGCAAAGCTTAACCCCGCATTTCTATGTCAAAGTTAATTATAAAGAGTACAAAACAAAGCAAAAAGGAGGAGGTGGTTCAGTTCAGGCTGTGGGCCAGGGCTTAAGCAAACAACCAACCAAACACCTTTTTTAAAACATTTGCAATGTCTCTTCTCCTGAATAATGTCATTTTTAAATAAAGGGAGGTTTGGGTGAATGGAAAAAGAGACTGAATAATATTTACTAGAACTCCACTGTGAGGACTGGTGGAAAAGCAGGCATTTTCATTATCTCGTCTTTCCATTTATGGTGTGAGATAGGGGTAGATATACTAAGTGATTTGACCTGGAAACACAAAAATGGATTTCTCCATTTCTCCTCAGGTTCCATACCCTGGGACATATTCATCCGACATGTAACTCTACTGAAGTTAGTAATGAAAATGGATATGAATTCAGGGATGAATTTGCCCCAATATGCTCACTATCACAGCAGTGCACATAGAACTCTATATTATTAATAGGCTCAATAAAGAAAGAAAACTTCTGCTTGAAGTTTAAGATTAAAATTTTTAAAATTAAAAAGAAAATTAAAAGGAAATTAAGAGCAGTACACTACGACCTACAGCGATATGTTGTGGGGTAAATTGTTTACCCAGTATGAATGTGAAGTGGTCAGATCTATGGGGACATGAAAGCTTACTAGTAAAGCATTAATTCCACACCCCCAAATTTTGCGCTTAGCTTCTTATTATGCACATCTATGTTCTCAAAGATTGTGCCATAGTGATTTTCTTTGGTTTCCAATACTGCCTTATACTGCAGACCACGCCCCAACTCCTCTGAGTGGTACAATTACTGGAGCTGATTGACAAAATTGCCATTACCAGAGTAATGAGCCAACAAGTCCATCGACCCTGTATTTCAGTGGTTCTCAAACTTTTCTACTGGTGACCCCTTTCACATAGCAAGGCTCTGTGTGCGACCCCCCTTTTAAATTAGAAACACTTCTTTACATATTTAACACCATTATAAATGCTAGAGGCAAAGTGGGGCTTGGGGTGGAGGCTGACAGCTCGCAACTCCCCATATAATAATCTTGTGATCCCCTGAGGGGTCCTGACCCTCAGTTTGAGAACCCCTGTTGTATTTGCCTCTTTTAATGGAGAGATGAGAAATACCAGTTGAAGAGCCCTGGAAATTGAATCCCTCTATTTCCCAAAAAAATATCACAGGCAGCAACAGCATATGTTTCCCACAGTGCCCTCACAAGTGGGGTTTAGACTGAGAGCAGTTTAGGGTTAGGCAATTATGACAATTTGGAAAAGCAGTGCCTCTATTACTGTTGCCAGTCATCAATCACAGTGGTATTGGCACAAATGGAAATATGAAGATAAAACAAAGAAACCGTGAGGGTGTTAAAGTTGCTGAACATCTATCAACAGCATTTAGAACATGGCTGTTAAATATATATTATTTTTAACCAGGAAGGAGCAAAGGCGAGGTGAACAGAGTGCTCATTGTAGGTCTCAGAGGTGTGATTTCTCAGATCTCAGCAAGACAGTAACTGCTAAGGTAAGCACCAAAGTAATCTTAACAGCTAACTAAGCAAACTTCAATAGCAAGGATGCAGAATCAGCACCACTTATTTCTATAGTATTCATCATCACTTTGAAAGAGCTTTATAGAGTTACAAAACTATATATGTTGAAGCATCACTCCTCCTACAACTGAAAGGAGCCACCTTTGGTGTTTTTAAAACAGCACCTAGTAACCCTATATGGTCATTTAGGACAACAAGTGAAGGAGGAAATCTTATTAAAGCAGTGAAGGAAGATTAGGAAAGCAGAATGTAATTGCCTCAAAGAGAAATTGGCTAGGAAATGTAGAGAGACATAC